CCCCAAATCTTTGGGTGGAAGAAGACATGGAACAGGCTATACACACACACACACACCCCTGGGACACACACACACACCCCACCCCAAATCTTTGGGTGGAAGAAGACATGGGACAGGCTATCGAGTAAGACATAAATCTTGGGAATGCTATTCACTGCTGTGAGCTTCAGTGTCCTTATCGGCAAATAAGGCTTACCTTCTGCAGAGTCAGGGGAGCCTCGTGGTATAGTGGTTACTCACTGAGCTGCTGCAACTCACAAGGTCAGCAGTTCAAAACCACCAGCTACTTCACTAAGAGTTACAGTCTTACAGGGGCAGTTCTACCCTGCCCTAGAGGGTCACTATGAGTTGGTATTGACGCGATGGCAGTGAGATTGATTCGGTGAAAACTATTTTTTCCCCAGATTCATTATGAGGATTAATGGTAATCTACGGACAGTTCCCAAGACTAGTGCTTGGTGCATAGTAGGTGGAGAGCGTTTTATCTGCTGCCCCACGTCTGTTTTGAAAGTGCTTCTGTTTGTTTCCGTGCTTATTTATTCTTTCTTAAAATACGTAGGTATCCACACATGCACAGATACATCTAGCATATGGCCACATTGCAGCTGCCCGGTGTCTGGCACATTGTCCTTTCTTACCATGTGCTGGTTGGAGTTTGGCTATCAGTACTGCTCGCTGAGAGGCTGACCACTGCTAGCCTGGCTTTTTTTTTCTTTTATAAATCATTTCATTGGGGGCTCTTATAAATATTATAACGATCCTTACATCCATTATATCACATGGATGTGTTCAATCATTGGCATTAACAATTCCTAAACATTATCTTTCTTCGTGAGCCCTTTGCTATCACACTCCTCTCTTTTTTTTGTTGCCTCCCTCCCACACCCTGCCTCCCCCTCCCCCATGAACCTTTAACATATTAGGTATTGTTATTATTATTTATACATAGCTTCCACCGCCTATTCTAACTTCTCAGAGAGTGCTGCTCCGTGTCTTTCCTCCCAAACCCAAAGGGAACGCTGTGCCATCGAGTGCGTGTGTAGGACCGCCCCTGTGAGTTTCCTAGACTGTAACTGTTTACCGGGGTACCAAGCCTGTCTTTCTCCTGAGGAGCTGCCGGTGAAGTGCCCACCTTTTGAATCTCAGTCCATGCCTTAACCACTCGGCCAGGAGGGGCCCTCTCTTCCGACGCACAGTGCCCTTATAGAGGGTTCCGAGATGGCACAGCTGCAACGGAGACAGACAGCCTCATCTTTGTTCCACGGAGCAGTCGTGTCGTCCACCTTGCAGTTAGCAGCAATCCAGTGCCTGATCCTCAGTGCCAGCAGGGCTCCTCGGGCATCTTTCCCAGCTTGATTACAAATGGCATCCCGAGGGCTCACCTGACATTCTTGGCTCCTCTATAGCCTGACCACAGCTTAGCATCGCAATGTCTTCTTCCACTGCTTGCCCCGCTCAGCCCACCGCCCAAGTCTTATTTCCTTTACTCGGCCTTGTCAGATAAGTGCAAGAGGGGGGTGGGGGCGGGGGGTGTCATGGGTCCTTATGCCACAGTTAACGGTTTGTGTCCTGTCTCGCCCTGCCAAGCTGACAACAGAATTGGACAGGACCTTGGGAATGGTCTGGCTCTCCTCTTCCCCTCTTTTATCTGAGCATACTCAGACCCTGCCCGGGGAAAGGAGCTGCCCTTGACCTCTCAGGCAGGAGTGGGGCCTGGAGCTGCCACCGGCCTCCTGCTTTTCTGACAGTCTTTCCTCCGGGGCAGGGCTTTGCACGGGCAGCTGGACCTCAGAGTGGCCTTGATTTGAGATCCCACCTGGTGCTCCACACGTCATTGTCTCTAATCTTCCTCACTCGCCGCCTTGAAAGATAGCACGAGTCCTCCCACTCCCTGTGAGACCAGGAGACTAGGAGGTGGGTAGGGTGAGATGCCCAGGCTAAGTTGGACAGGACCTGCTGCTCAAAGCCTCCCACTGGATCCTTGTCATAATTATGATAAAATCTACAGGAAACCTTCCCAGGACCTTCAAGGACCTGCTGGCTTAGCTCCCAACCACCCCCTCAGACCTCATCTTCCACTACTGTCTTTTCCACCCTCTGCCCGTCAGCAGCCAGGAACCTTGGCAGCAGTGCTCCGGCCAGTAGGGCAGTGGTTATGCGTTATACTGTTAACAGTAAGGACGGCAGTTCGAAAGCACAGCCTCTCCTCGAGAGAACGATGAGGCTTTCTACTCCCGTGAAGAGTGATGGTCTTGGGATCCCACAGAGAGTGTTCTGCCCTGCCCTATAGGGTCGCTAGGAGTCAGAATCAACTGGACGGCAGTTGAGTTTTGGGGGTTGCCCTCCAGCCTTCTGGCGGCCTTGAACACACCAAGTATGACTCCGCTCAAGGACGTCATGGTGGCCACCTGGCGAGGCCCCGAGTCCCCAAGATGCCTTGGGCAGTCTCCCTGTCCTGGGAGTGTGCAGCCCCACCCTGCCTCTGCCACCTTCTTCTGGGGTCAAGCCCTGGCTTTGCTACCAGAACAACCTCTCCACAGTCTTGCTTCCAAGCGACCCATCCGTCCACGTGCCCACTTGATCCCCCTTAGGCGCCCGGCAAAGCAGTGTGTCACTTAATACCCGAGTCTGTACCTGATTGTCTAAAGAGCTTTGCACAGCCCCTCCACCCCACTGTAAGGATCCCTGGTGGCTCAGTGCCTAAGGGCTCGGCGATTAGCCGAAAGGTGGGTGGGTGGAATCCACCAGCCACTCCATATGAGGCAGATGTGGCATCGATTTCTGTAAAGGTGTCTGGCCTGGGGACCCCTGGAAGGCAGTTCGGCTGTGTGCTGCAGTGTTGCCGTGAGTCAGAACCGGGGGATTGCCGTGGGTTTGGGTTCTCGCCTGTTATAGCCTCTCATCTGTTCTCACTGTCCCATCAATGTAATCAAGCCTCAATAATATGCTCGACTCTCATACCCTCCTCTTCCTTCATTAGACCCCCCCCCAAACTGGTTACAGTCCAACCCAGCTTCCTGGCTTGCCCCCACAGTGCTGAGCAGGGCTAGAGACAAACACAGCATGTTGACAGGCCTCTGGAAACTCACAGCCACTCGTCTCCCCGATAGAGTGATGGGGTGACTGTGTAGGGAGGGACCCCATCTCCCCAACTCACCTGGTCACAGCTCCCAGCATGCTCACACTCTCAAACCCTCCACTCCATCTCTTTTTTCAAGCCACAAGTCCCCCCCCACCCCATTTTCACAGGACAAGATAGGAACAGTCAAGAGAAGGTTCCACAGCCTTGTGTTAGCCCCGGTTGTCCAGTGAAACAAAACCAGTGGTCTCATATAGGTGTCAGAAAGAACTTTCTTCTATCAAGGGGGCACCCCAGCCCGTCCAACTCAAATCTATGGGTGTGAGTGGCGCTGGCTGGAGTCCTCATCTCGCTCGCAGAGCTGCAGGGAGCGGGGAGACCACAGGCTGCTGGGTGTAGAGATGAGCAGATACGGGGTCAGAGGGAGCATCTGGGGTCCCGTTTGGGGCTGCCCCTGGAGCCAGAACCAGAATCCCACTACCAGAAATGCAAAGAGAGGTTTCCAGTGTCTCTCTTCTAAGAAGGCCACAACCCCCACAGGAGTCATCACTATGCTACCACCTGATCGACAGGTTGAACTCCACCTCTGCTTCCATGCAGGTCCCATCAAGTTGATGTGCGATCCAACGGTCACAAGCTGGATTGGCACCCTTCACTCTGCCCTGCCTCTTGTTTCTCTGAGAGAGTTATCCATTCTTCTCTAAGGGCAACCCCTTCGTGGAGGGCCTTCTGTTCCCTTGTGGGTTCAAGGGCATTGCTTTGCTCTAGGGTCCCATATATTTTTCCTTCTCTAGTGGTGCTATGAGTTAAGCATTGGATTGCTAACCAGGAGGTTGGCTGTTCAAATCTACCGGCTCCTCTGTGGGAGGAAGTTGAGGCTGTCTGCTCCCATAAAGAATTACCGTCTCAATAACCTCAGTTCTGCTCTGCCCTGTAGGGTCACCATGATTCAGCATTGACTCGATGGCTGGGATTTTAGTGGGTATCATTATATATTAGCATTTATAAAAGCTCCCCCCAAGTCCCATCGTGATCCCGCTCAGCCTCATTCAACCACTGGTCTAGTTTTCCTATTCCTTTTAGAGCAAAACCCATCAAAAGGACTCTGTGTGGCTCTGATTCGAATCCCTTGCTTTCTCCAGCCCACTCTAACCTGGCTTATGTCTCCCACCAATTATGGACACACAGCTTCCCAAGGTCGTCAACGACATCTTACCGTTGACTCTGTTGAGCACATCCTCTTCTTCCGGGAATCTTTTTCCCCTGGCTTCTAGAAGTCCATCGCCTCCTGTTTTCCTGTCGCCTCTCTGATCATGCATTCTGGTTTCCTCCTCCTTTCCCAGCCCTGGGCATGTGGACAGTGACTCCATCTGGGGACCTCTTTTCTCCATCCGTCCTCTAGGCGCCTCAACCAGCCTTAGGGATTTCATCTCCGCCTCTTGTACTGACAACTCCCACCTTTCTGTCTGTAGCCCAGGCATCTACCTGAGCGCTCAGGTTCTTCCCATCCCCACTTGGACCTCAGACTTAACACGCCCCAAACTCCAATCCAGATCCCCTCCACCTTCTGCCGTCCTCACCACTTCAGTCAGGGGCATTTCCATCCTCCCAGCTGCCCAGACTGGAATTCCTGGACTTTCCGCTTGGTGGTGCTCCTCATGTCCAGGCCACCAGCAAGTTGGTTGGCTTTACTCAGGGAACCCAGAGAAGGGAGCCACTGCCTGCCCCTTCTGCTGCAACTGCCCCCACCCAAGCCACGCCATCGTCCAGGTGAACCATTCAGTGGCCTCCTCCCTGGTTTCTGCTGGCCTCTTACAGTCTTTTTCCAGCCTTCCAAACAGGGACCCTTCAAGAGATCCAGTCAGTTCACAACACTTCTCTTTGTGTCCCTCCATTGGCTCCTGATTTTATAAAAGCCGACTAAGCCCTTCCTGGTCACTCTGAAGACCCATTGGACTTCATCTCTTGCCACTCCCCCCCTCACAGGCCATCCTGGCCACAGGGCCTTCGCACTTGCGATTCCTTTTTTTACACTAGTGTTTCTCCAGGTATCTGTATGACCTGTGTTTTTTCACGTCCTTCAGGTCTCTGCTTTATGATCACCTAATCAGTGCAGTGTTGTGCTGCTACGCGGCAGGTTTTCAGTGGGTCGTTTTCAGGAGTAGTAGAGGGCCTGTCAAAAAAGAGGAGACCCTCGACTGATGGATCGACACAGCAACTGCAGCAGTGGGCTCGCACAGAACCCCAATTCTGAGGACGGCCGGCTGCGCCGGGCGGTGCTTTGTTCCATAGCACACACGGCCGCTAGGAGGCAGAGCACCCAACCACTGCCACGGCCAATGCCACCTTCTCGACCACTTTTGATAAAGCAGCAGCCCTGCTCCACGCTCCTGCCTGGCCCTCTCTGCCGCCTCCCCTGCTTTTTGCCCCCGGTGCTGTACGACTCTTGTCTTGTCCCCTGTAGGATGTCAGCTCCATGTGGTCAGGGACTTGGATCGGCAGCAGCTGGTCTCGTGCTGCCGCATGGGAGGCGGTCTGTTCCCCTCATCTCCCAGATGGGAAACTAGAGACAGGAGTGAGCCCATGGACGATGCTCAATCAGCAGTTGGCTTACTTGCCTCTGTCGTGAGGCATCTATGCAGCTGCTCCCTCTGCACAAATTTGATTGTTGTGCTCCGATTTCCCAGCAGATGTCAGCTCTGTGTCTATGGGCCTGGTGGTGGCTCCTTTTGTATCTCCAGAGTCTAGAACAGAGCCTGGCACTTCGTGGGCATGCAACAAATGTTTGTTGAATGGATGACAGTTACAGCTGGATTGATTGAGGACTGGTTGACCCTGAGGGTGTCTTTAACCCCCCCCCCCCAAATAAACACACACACACACACACACACACAACCTCAAAGCCAAACTCACTGCTATTGAGTCAATTCCAACTCATAGCCCTCTTCTATAGATTTCCGTGCTAGAAATCTTGACGGGAGCAGATCATCTTTTCATTCTTCTGAGGAGCAGCTGGTGGTTTTGAACTGCCAACCTAGCGATGAGCAGTCCAACATGAAACCCACAGCGCCTGGTTTTCAAATGCTGGTGTCCATACAGCCTGGGGACTTGTCTAATGTTCCAAGACTCGGCTGATCAGCATAGTTACCTCGCAGAGAAGGACCGTTGTTCTAGAACATTCCATGCCACTGTGATTGGTGGGAACACCATGGCTAAGGCCAGATAAAATGCAGGCGTTGCTTGTGAGTGTGACCCTTTCTACGTAATGCTTCCCAGCATGCCCCCACCTCCCCTCCACATGGACACACAGACCACTCTCGTATCTTATTCGCAAATGGACCCGAACTTGTGCCTGGCAGCAGGTTCTGTTTGGTGTCCCCAGCAGTTTGAGCTCTGTACAGAAAGGCTGGAGGAGCAGTTGAGGTCCTGACTGGCAGTGGAGTCCAGAAGCCCTCAGGAACGAGGCCAGGCTGAGCAGTTGAGGAGGCAGTGGCTCCTACCCCCAGCACCGGCTCACTTGGTGGTCAGGACAGCCTGGGGCCCAGCGAGGCTCATAGGCAGATGCTCTGGTTCTTTGGAGGGAACATGGGTTGCCCAGTCTCTGCTGCCACGGTGTGTCTCCCCTGGGCCTTGACACTTGGTCTCATGGGAGTGTTGGATCGTGGAAGCTGGCTCTCTTGGAGACTAAGCAAACATTTCTCAAGTGCTTCCCAGGGGCCAGGGTCCTGGAATCCCAGATTCACTGGCTAGCGTGGCTAGTGGCCCCTACTACTTGATGCCACTGTGGTGTCTTCAGGAACCCTGGTACCATAGTGGTTAGACGTGTTGGGCTGCTAACCCCAAGGTCAGCAGTTTGAAACTACCAGACACAACGGGGTAGAAAGATGAGGCTTTCTACTCCTGTAAAGAGTTGCAGTCTCAGAAACACAGGGGCAGTTCTATCCTGAGATTCTTCTTTGGTGGCGTCTTGTGTAACGCAGCTCCGCCTCATGATTTCCCACCTTCTCAGCCATGGAGTGCTGCCTCAGCAGAAACAGGGTGCCTGGCCATTTTCTTTCTCATCATTTGGAAGCTGGCAATCTGAACTCCGGGTGCTGGCTCTAAGACTTTCTCCCTGCCAGCTCTGAGGGAAGGTCCTCGTCTCTTGTCAGCTCCTACCGTCATCTTTATGCCACACGATATCCATCTCCTATCTTTGCTTGCTCAATCTGTTCTCTTGTGTCTCCAAAGAGTTTAATGAGACACACCCTGCACCAATACCACCCCATTCCCTAACAAAGAAAACCCATTCATTCCCAAATGCGATCCTATAGAATTCCCAATGAAATTATTTTTGGGGAAAATTCCATTATCTTTTTAAATTCCGTCTTTTTCTACAAACATTTTGATGCTCCTCATCAGCTGGGGGGTGGGGGTGGGGGAGAGACACAACTTATCTAAACCATCATTGGAGGAAAACCAGGGAATGACTGGCATCCTTTTTGGAAGCTTCATAGGCTGCGACCCTAACCTAGGACAGAATCCAGGACTCCCAACCTGGCCTTGAACAAGTCACCGATCTCACCGTCACCTTCCGTTCCTGTGAAATGGGCTGACAACTCCAGCCTTTGATTAGCCCAGTCTTTGGAAAGAATCAGAAAAAGAGTTAAGAGAAAGGTGATGCCAAGGGTAAAGTTTATATAAAAATAAACTCAAGCCTCTTTTTTTTTTTTTTTTTGATATTCTAAGATCCTGGTGAGGGAGGCAGGATGCGAACGCTCACAATGAGCCCAAGCCGTCTTTGAAGCGGAAGGTTTTGATGTCATCAAAGGCTAAGGAAGGGATCCGGTTTCTCCCCGCAGGGCTTGAAGAAGACGTGTGTGATCATGGACCAGGAACGCCCACGCTCGGATCTCAGCATCAACAGCAGAAACGACCTCCGCAAGGTTTTGCACCTGGAATTTCTCTACAAGGAGAACAAGGTACTGGTGCTAGAGTCTGATGACGTCAGAACGTGCCTGCGCCCTGCCAGGCCCTCGGAGGCGTGCGGCGGGAGGGAGCCTGGGGACAGCGTGGGTGGCTCACCCCGTGTGCAGCCAGAAAGGGACCGAGCCAAGTGCAGACAAAGCCCAGGTGGGCTTGTGTGTTCTAGCCCGAGCCGGCCCGGTGCCGCCGCCCCTTTGGCACTGTGTGTGTGGGCGCGTGGGAGCTTACTCCTCTGTGTGTGTGTTGGCCACTTTGGGTTCATTTTGCCCCAGGCGGTTAACAACTGCTCAGCGCCACCAGCTATTCCCTCTGCTCCCTCCTTCCCCCAAGAGGCTATATTTAGTACGACTGTACTTAAGAATATAGTATTCAGTTATACAAAAATTTTCCATTCCCTGCCTGCGTCAGATTTTCCTCCTGCAGTTCTGATGAATGCCTCATCTGAGGTCTGCTGTGACCTGCAATGCAGACAGAAGAGGGGCTTGGTGCAGCCTGGGTGATACCTCCTGGGGTGCTTCCCTCCTCCTCCCCCATCCACCCCGCTCCTTTTACAGGCCCCAGTGCACTCTATGCTTCCTTCATTGTACATCCCATTTGTAATACCAAAGTTGTGTCGCTGTGTAATTAGGATCTGCCTCCCTAAGGACCATGGGTGCATATAGCAGGGGGGCCGAGATGTGTCCCGTCTGTTCATTATTGCACCTCTGCACTTAACCAAGGGAGCCCTGGTGGCTGAGTGCTTTACACGTTGGGCCGCTAACCACACAGTCAGCAGTTCACATCCACCAGCAGCCCAGGGGTGGGGGTGAGATGAGACTTTCTGCTCCTGTAAAGATGGACAGTCTCATAGGGTCACTATGAATCGGAATTGACTGGATGGCAGTGGATTGATAGCACTGAACCTGTTTAACATAGCGAGTAGTCAACACGTGTTTGTGAAACATATGAATGAAGCTATACGACTGCTTTAATTGCTCTTTCTTTTACAAAGATCCATCCATCCACTGCCATCGAGCCAGTTTAAAAAAAACCAGAATGACTGCCATTGGATTAATTTTAGCTCATAATGGCATTCTAGTACAGATTGGAACTGCCCCCCCCTTTAAAAAATAATTTTATTGGGGGCTCTTACAGCTCTTATCACAATCCATACATCCACCCATTGTGCCCACACTAAATCTCAACAGGTGTAGATACCCTCATCTTTCTTTCCCCTGTGTAGTGACTGGCAGATTTGAACCACTGACCTTGTGGTTAGCAGCTCAGTATATAACCCACTGTATCACTTACATAGGGTTTCTGAGGCTGTGGGTCTTTCTGGGAGCAGACAGCCTCATCTTTCTCTTGTGGAGCAGCTTGTGCTTTAGAACAGCTGATCCTCTGGTTAGCAGCCCAGCACTTAGCCGATAGCATCACCAGGGCTTGTTACAATGGCGAATTTCTCTAATTAGAGTGGAGAATAGACTGTCCAGCGGACTCTACCCTGTGGTTGGACAGAGTGTCTGAGGTGGAAAGAACCTGATGAATATGTTATTCATTGTTTATCACAGTGCTATTTTTAAAAAGCAATCCAATGAGATCCCAAACAGAAGTCCAATATGCAAAACAAAGAAGGGCAGTCTCCCTTTGTGAGGAGGGGAAGATGGAGGAGTGAGTCTCATCTCCGTGGCCACCTGGGAGAGCCCCTTAGTTTTCAAGCTACTGGTCCAGTGGGAACTGCTCCGGAGGACGATGAGCCAGAGACGAGCCTCTATGAGACCCTACTTCAGTTATGGGGGAAAGGGTGGGGCTAGAACACAGGACTTCCACTTCCCAATCCTATCCTGATGGTGGTCATCGGGTATGTTTCAATGATAACCCTTTTCTCAGAGGGAATCTTGGCACCTTTGGTAGGTATGGGGGTGGGGCACTGTAGCCTTCCAAGACTATTTCTAAGATATCTGGAGAAACCTCGGGACCCTGATATGCTTGCGTCACAGGACAGGGAGGGATTAGGTCATATTTCCCTCCACAAAGGAAAGGGTTAGCATTTCAAGCAAACCCATGAGCCTCTCTCTACCAGCTGGCATCCCGCCGGTCAGAGCTGCCCTGGGCGGAGCAAAGGGCAATGGTGGTAAAGTCACATCGGAGATGGAGGAAAGCGTGACATGTCTCCTGGGGACCCAGCAGTGACCTCAGGCACATCCGTTGGTGCTCAGGGAAACCCCAGCCGGCGAGTTTTCTCTGACAAGAGCTGGCCTCCCTAGGGTTCTCAGGGGCTGATTTTTGGTGGGGGAGAGGTGGGGAGGGAGTAGATTACCTTTCTTTTGAGGCACTCCTGGATGGACTTGAACCCATGACCTTTTGGTTAGCAGCCAAGCGTGTTCACTGTTTGCATCACTCAGGGCCTCCGTCCGTCCGTGCTGGGCTGGGGTCCTGGGGAAAGAGGGCTGCCGACCCAGCCAGTGGGTACTCAGTAATCCTCCAGTTGCTATGTCTGTAGCCAGGAGAGGCACTGAAAGAGCACAGTAGAACTGCTCCTGTGAGTTTCCAAGACTGTCCCTGTGTACAGGAGTAGAAAGCCCTGCCTTTCTCTGGTGGAGTTGTTGATGGCTTGAACTGCCAACCTTGCAGGTGGAAGCCCGATGCATAGCCACTACACCACTAGGGCTCCAGAAATGAGAGTAGACTCTACATTATCAGCACAGAGTGAGAAAATTAACCAGAAAATTCAACCACCCACCCCCTCTGGCACATAGGGATTCTTATCTAAATGCCTGTTCCCTAATATCCTAAAAGGGCCTTTGGGAAATTCGAGCCATTTCTTATCTCCTTCTCATCATATGCTCTCCCTAAGGTGTCTTAAGATGTTTAGGATATTTTCGTTAGATCTTCCTATGTGCCCTGATTGTTGGATGTACACAGTAGTTATTAGATGAATGAGTTGTATAGAAAAATGTATTCATTAGTCTAGTTGAGCTCTCATGGTACTGTTGGGTGAGGGTTCATTGCTACCAGAAAGGTCTGTGGTTCAAACCCACTATCTGCTTTGCAGGAAAAAGATGAGGCTGTCTGCTTCTTCCAAGATTGACCGCCTACATAATCCTATATAGGGTTGTTGTAAGTTCGAATCAACTCATGGCAGTGGTTTTTTGTGTTGCATGATAGTTTTGATATTTATTGGCACTCATTTTGTGTGATTTTAGGGAAGCCATACAATCCAAGGTAAATATTCCCAGTAATCCCTTTTTCTGTTTTATACATACTGTTGATTGCAATGGTTATATAAGATTGAGGTATGAAAAAGAAATACTATCTAATTTTGTTTCTTTTGCATAAGCACTTTACAATTCCGACTTTTATTTTAAAATGTTAACACTGAAAACCAGCTGCCTGGGTGCTGTCAGGGTGGAAAGACTCATGACTCACACATGGGATGGATTGTGTTTGGGCTGTTAGTGCTCAGTTTTGAACGGTTGGGGTTTTAACAGAAAGAATTTTCTAGAAGGAAAAAAAAATCCAATTAAATAAAAAAGTAGAATAGTGTCACCCTATTGCTGCTAAGTAGTTCTGGAGACTGGAGTTCCTGCCCTCATGATTTTATTTATGTGGAATGTGGAAAAGCCTTCAATAGCAGGTCACCTCTTGTGTTTGGCTGGATTGTCCAGAGAAAAAAAGCCGGGGACCCTAATCTGTGTAAGGAAGCGCTTTCTATCAAGAAGGCGTCCCTGCCCGGTCCAGCTCAAGTCCGTGGGTCCTGATGCTGGCTGGAGCCCTCGGCAGAGCCCCACAGACAGGCTGCCGCCGACGCAGCAAGGTGGAGCGGCACACAGGGAACTCACAGGCTGGTGTGAGCAGGGTTGCCTGGGCCTATGGTTGGGGAAACGTGGCGAGGCCCTGACAGCTCTCAGGGTCAGGCAGGCCACCCGGGGCCACCCCTGGAGGCAGATACCGAGTCCTAGCGAGGAGGAAGACGAAGTGGCCGAGAGGGGAAGTTCCTAGTTTCTCCCTTAGGAAAAGGTCACACCTCCAGGAAGGCACCACAGGCTGTGTGATCTGATGGACAGGTTAGCCTGCACCCCTCCACGTTCACACAGCATCAAAACCAAAAAACCCAACTCATTGCCAACCATACGATGCCGACTCATCAAGTTGACCTAACATCTAACCGCCACGCCTCTCGTTCCACACGAAGTTCACATCGGAGAAAGGCCTTCTGAGCGCAGCGGATGTGGAAAAGTGTTCCGCCAAAGCTCCGGTTTCCTTAGGCACCAGAGACCCCACGCCCCGATGAAGCCCGGTGAGTGCAGCCAACGGGAGAAGCCCTCAGCTGCAGCCCAGCCCTCGCTCTGCATCAGAGAGGCCACGCTGGAGAAGGACTAGGTGAGTGCAGCGTGTGGAAGAGCCTGTAGCAGTGACTCTCACCTGGCGCAACCCCAGAGAGCTCCCACCGGACAGTGGCCTTTGGCATGTGGTGCCCGGTCAACCGCACGGCTCAGCTGGCGCACCTTCAGCACGAAGACCCTGCGAGGCCTCTACGCTGGGTTGGGGATTGCTGCTGCTGCTGCTGCTGCTCTGGAGTTTTTGAGTCCCTAAGAAATGAGTAGTCACAAGGGGAAAATCTGTTGTTCTTCATAAATGAAGCACCAGTAGGTCTCTTGGAAGGCAATCCAGGTCGAAGAGACTAAGATCCCCCCTTCAGATTGACCTCCTGTGGCATGCTGTGATCTGGGGCAGGAAGCAATTGCCTGCAGAACAGGAAGACTACCTTTCAAATGAGAAACAGAGAAAAGACTAATGTTTAGGCTGCTACATGGGATAGGGTGTGGCACCACGGTTACTTTTTCACCTGGCTGGGATCCACAGTCAATGCTCATGGAAGCAGCAGTCAAGAGATCAAAGGATGCAGGGCATTGGGTTAATCTGCTGCACACGACCTCTTCAGAGTCTTGAAAAGCAAGGAGATTCCTTTGAGGACTAAGGTGGGCCCGCCTGATGCAAGCACTTTTAATCGCCTTCTATGCATGGGCATTGAATAAGGAAGACTGAAGGAGAAAGGATGTGTTTACATTATGGTGCTTGCAATGAATATTGAAAGTACCGCGGACTGTCAAAAGAAAAAAGACCAATCTGTCTTGGAAGACGTACAGTCAGACCGCTCCTTGGTAGAAAGGTTGGTGAGGCTTTGTCAGGAGACATCATGCTTGGCAGCGAAAACGAGGCAGATCTTTGACACGATGGGTTGACGCTGTGGCTGTCATAATGGCCTCACACAATTGTGAGGACGGCCCAGGATGGGGCTGCGCTTTGTTCTGCTGTGCAGAGGGTTGCTCTGAGTTGGAACTGACTGTGGCACCTAACAACAACAACAAGAACAACAACTTTTCCTGTCCATCACTGTTCCTGTTCAAGGGAGCTCACACACGGTAGTGGATGGTGAAGCTTTGTCTCATGTATTTTGGACGTTTTCAGTTGGACTTTGTACTCCCTTTGAGAGTTACAGTCTCAGAAACTCACAGGGTCAGTGCTACTCCGTCCTCTCTGGTCACGATGAGCCAGCATGGACCCGAGGGCAGTGAGTTGGTTTGCTGTGGTATTTGACCATAGAATCTGCTGACTTTGGTCATGACCTCTTTGCTAGTGGCCTTGGTGGGGCCTGGGACTCTGTATTCAAAGAGAAATTCCAAAAGTAATAGGCAGGAAGAGTTAGGAAATACTGCTATGACTTATTTCCAGAACCTGCTATTGAAGTGTTTTCCCCGTACGTTTTAAAAGGCTGGTATGTAACTGGAGTTAATGATATCAGTCTCTCTATGTTATTCATGTTAAACTTCAACATAAACCATGTGTCCTGGCCTATGTCTGTATGTTAAATGCAGAATCCACACACCAAGAGAATGTCCAGAACCCAAAGGCTTTTATACACTTGGCCTTTCTTTTTTTTCAAATGAGAGGATTTCTGTTTTATAAAGTTATTCCTGGGGCCGGGTGGGAGGGGGACTGGGAGGAAGAGACTGAGGACATTGGGTATCCCTCTATTCACATCACACTTTAACTGTTCGGGGAGTTGCTGGGCACCTACATTAGCTGCCAGTTCTCTTAGGACAGGGGTGTTGCTGTCACCTCTGTGCCCCTCCGTGCCCAACACTGTGCCTGGCATGAATACGGGGCACTCCGTGAATGCTTGCTGAACGAATGTCCGAATGAGCGGGAAGTGGGTCAATGGACGCTAAGGAACTGGGTGACTACACTTCATCTCGAGTATTCTGGGCATGTGGTCAGCAGGGACCAGGCCCTGGGGAAGGGCATCGTGCTCGGTAGAATGCAGGGTCAGTGAACGAGAGGGGCGGGCCGTCGGTGAGATGGCCTGACCCAGAGGGCTCAGGCACAGGAACAATTGTGAGGATGGCGCAGGGCCAGGCCGAGTTTTGCTCTGTTGTGCACGAGCGGCTTTGGGTCAAACCAGCTGGACAGCACCTAACAGCAACAAAGAGCTGGAACCCTGGTGGCGCTGTGGGGTAAGCATTGGGCTGCGAACCACGATGTTCTTGGCTCAAGCCTACTGGCTGCTCTGTGGGAACAGGGTGAGGCTGCCTACTCCCATAGAGATCTGTACTCTCAGATGCCCCTTACAGGTTGCTGTGAGCTAGAACAGACTGATGGCAGTGGGCTTATTTGTTTTTGTTTTAATTGGAATCGACATCTTTCTGAGCCTTCCCCAGAGGCAGCATCTACAATGAATGACTTTCTTCTCTTTGTCCCATTGTTAGGCAAAGGAAAACCCTCTCAAGACAAACCTCGAACTCATCACCAGGTACTTTCTGGATCACTTTGGAAACGCCGCCAAGGAGTTCACCCCAGAGGCGCCCATCCCGGTGCTCTCCGTTCCAAAGAAGAGCAACCGGCCGCCGGGGCGGTGTGCCGAGACCACGCTGGTCAACATCTACGACCTTTCCGACGAAGACGCGGGCTGGAGAGTGCCGCTGGCCGAAACCAGCAAAGTCAGGTAGTCCTCGCCCTGCCCCCTTCTCTGTGGGCCCCTTTCCAATCTGCCATAGCCAAACGATGACAGTAAAACTCGCAGCCACCACCCGGGCCAGGCGGGAACCCTTCCAAGCTTTTTCCCTAAAGGGCGAGGCAGCAAAGAGTTAAGACGGCACCCTGCCACCCCGGCCCCTCCCAGGGGATGGCCAAAGGAAAGTGGTTGAAGGGAGACATTGGTCAGTGTGAGACATGAAAAAATAATAATAGTTGATGGATTATCAAAGGCTCATGGGGGAGGGAGAGGGGAAAATGAGGAGCGGATACCAGGGGCTCAAGTGGAAAGAAAGTGTTTTGAGAATGACGGAAAGAAAGTGTTTTGAGAATGACGCGGGCAACAAATGTACAAACGTGCTCGACACAGTGGATGGATGGATGGATGGTGATGAGAGTTGTACGAGCCCCCAGGCACATGATTTACACACACAAGAAAAAAGACTGACCGTACCCTGCCCGCGGCGGGGACCTTGCCGGTCATGAGCGCCACACGTGGTGTGCCCAGTGTGCCCGAGACAGGCTCCCGCGTGCTTTCCTTTCTGAGGAGCAGAAAGTGGCTGTGGGCGTGTTGAAGGCACCCGCATAGTCAGCACGCCACGCAAACACCAATGGAGCTCTTTTTGAACAATACACACGCCAAGCAACAACGAACAAAACACACACAAAAAACACAAGACGGCCCCGCCCAGTTCCATCTCGCACAGGTTTCTCTGCCAACGTCGTGACTGGACGCAACAGGAGTTGACTGGTTACAGCGCTGGGGGTCAGAAGTCCAAAAGGAGTCTCCCTGGCTCAAAGCCCCCAAGGGGCCCTGGTGGCGCAGCAGTGGTTGCGAGTTCAGTTGCAATCCGAAAGGTCAGTAGTTTAAAGCCACCAGCCGCTCCACGGAAGACAGACAGGACTTTGGAAGCTCACAGGGGCATTTCTTGCCCTGCAGGGTCGCTGTGAGCTGCGTCAACTCCATGACAGTGAGTGTGCGCGTGCGCGTGCTCGAGGCTGGTCCTTCTGCGAGCTCAGAGGGGACAGTCCGTTACCCTGCCTGTTTCAGCTGCTCCCGCGCGGCCCCTTCCCTGTACCATTTCCACTTGCCTTACTTCCCTAGCGTTGCTGTCACTCACATGCCGCAAATGGGCAGCTTTAAGGAACAGGCATTTATTTTCTCGCCGTTTCTCACTGCCCCCGGGCCATTCATGCAGCTCACGGCAAAGGAGGTGAAAAATCTGAATTCTAAGGAGATCCTTCCTTGTCTCTTAAGCTTCTGGGAGTTACCAGCAATCCTTGAAGATGTGCCCATCTCCGTTTCCTGTCTTCTTCCACCTCCCTGTGTGTGTGTATGTGTGTGTGTGTGTGTGTGTGTGTGTGTGTGTGTGTGTATTCTAGTCTCCTTTTGGAGCTCAGGAGTGATTACCTTTAGAGCCCACCCTACCCGGGTATGACCTACCTAGTGTAGAGGAGAACGCCCTTTTTCCAAACAGGGTCATGTCTGTAGGTGTTAGGGCTAAGATTGCCACACCTATTTTGGGGGAGACAGAAACCAACCCACGCCATACCTCTTGTTTCTGTGCCCTCCTCTCCTGCTACTAATGCCCGTTCTTACCCCCTTTGTAAATGATCCTGGTGACGACATTGAGTACAGTCAGGGAGCTTGGCAGCTTGAGTTTTTCTCCCGCTCAAGATTCTGAGCTTCATCACGTCTTTCAGGCCTGTTTGCACCATGTAAGGCCACCTGTCCACTCCCAGGGGCCAGGGATTCAATTGTGGACCGTGGGGTCGTTCGCTATTCCACCCGCTACCTTGTGTGCTGACAGGCCGTGCTGTCGTCTGAGGGTGGTCTGGGGAAGGAGGCAGCCGCCTGGCTGGGCCACGGAAGGTTCCCGAGACAAGGAAAGCCAACAGTGCAGGCTCCCCTGTTCTACCCAGACACTCAAGCCCCAAACTTGGCTGCTACTCCTGGCTCCTTCTCTGTGATTTTTAACATTCGCTGCCCCATCCCCCCGTCCAACTTCCTGCTGTGGGTCCCCACTGTGGGGACCTGCATGTTGCTGTCATGTTGGAGCCATGCCCCTCGGGGTTTCAAATACCAGGACAGTCACCCATGCTAGACAGCTTTCAGCAGAGCTTCCAGATGAACACGCCCCTGACAGGTTGGGAGAAAGCCTGGGTGATGGGCGTCTGGACACCAGCCAAGGAGAACCGTGTGGATAACTGCAGAGCCAGGTGGTCTCGTGCTGGGAGATGCGTCCCGAGGCTGGGAGATGCCCCGCAGTAGCAGAATCATGGGGCATGCAGCCGGTTTGGAACTAGACGGGGCTTGGCCCTGCCCTGCCCCGTGTGTGGTCTTGCGAGTTGGAGCGGACTCGGTGGTGGCTAATCGCACCGATGTTAGCCATCGTTCCTCCTCCCGAAGGGTGCCAGACTCTGCCCCTGAGCCGTCCACTCCCCTCGCTCCTTTCTGCCCGCTCTGCGTCACTGCGGGCTGTTGTCCGCTGTTGTGGAGCGTGCAGCAGCACCCTGCTCCCTGGAAATCCGGGTCGTCTCCGGGTGTCTTCTGAGGCCCCCCAGAATGGGCCTGAATTGCCAGCCTTTTCCTGCCTGCTTCACTGTGGGCACCGCTCAGGGGCTCCATTGTCTTCTCCTCTCCCGTTATCCTCTTTTCAGACCCACCTTCCTTCTGAGTCAGCGAGCTTCTCGCAGCACAGGTGGCCATGGCCACGTTCCTGCTGACCCATCATAGGACCCCCCCCACCCCCGGCACTTCCAGAATTAAATCCCGATTCTCAGGTAACCCTTGTTGTGCGTGACCCAGTCCCCACTGCTCACCCGCACGTGTTGTGCTCCCTGTCCCCCGTGTTTTCTTTAAAAACACCGGTGGCTAATGCTCTGAGCGGCCTTCCGAAAGTGGGCGGCAGCATGGCACTCAAAGATGATGGCATTGTCCCATGAGCGGTTTTCTGGGAAGCTCCCTGGAGAATAACCCGAAACTTGCCGTTTTGACCATTTTACATGTAACATTCAAATCTGTCTTGGAAGAGGTATGGCCAGAGTACTCCTTAGAGGCAAGGTTGGCAAGACGTTGTCTTACGTTTTGGACACGTTGTCAGGAGACGCCGTCCCTGGAGAAGGACACCTGCTCGGTAAAGGAGAGGGGCAGTGGAACAGAGGAAGCCCTCAGGAGGATGGACACATGGCTGCAGCAATGGGCTCAGGCACAGGAGCCATCGTGAGGATGGCGCAGGGCCGGGCAGCGTTTGTTCTGTTGTGCACAAGGTCGCTATGGGTTGGAGCTGATCCGATGGCTCCTGATAGCGATGGCGTTAGTTCATCTGCAGTGCTGTGCAACCCTCCCCACTGTTGTCACGCGCTTTCATCCCTCACTCACGCAGAGACACTCTCCATGGAGTAACGGCGCCCACCCTGGGGGCCCTCACATCGACTTTCTGTTTCCTGCCATTTGCTTGTCCTGGGGATTCCAGATAAGTGGCGCTGTACAAAATGCGGGTACTTTTGTGTCTGGCTTAGTACCCTGAGTGCAATATTTCTGAAGAGCTGTGTGTCTGTTTCGGCACCTTTTTCATGGTTGAGTAATGTTCCTCCACACAGGCACACCACATTTTATTTACCCATCCATCCTCCGGTGAGCTCTTGGGTGGTGTCCACCTTGTAGCTGTTTTGGATGACCATCATGGCAGTGATGTTGAGAGCTGAGGCCCCCATGCACTGCTGCGGGGCCTGTGTAAGGATGCAGCTGCTGTGGACGAGGGCATGGCCGTTCCTCATCGAGTTAGGATTATTACACGACCCAGCAGTCCCACGCCCATGTACAGACAGACGCAGGAACTGCAGGCAGGGACTCAGACCGATCGATCGTGTACATGAATGTACGTGTCATCCTTTTACAGGCTCTGTGCTGGTGCCTGCGACAACCTCCTGGCTGTCTCCCATCCACTCACTTTCTAGATTCAACACAGGTTGTGTCCAGGCCCAGGAGCCCAAGCGGCATAGGGGTTTTGTGTCGGGCTGCTAACTACAATGTCAGCAGTTCAAAATCACCAGCCTATCCTCGGTAGAAAGACTGAGGTTTTCTACTCCTGTAAAGAGCTACGGTAATGCAGGCCCAGGGAGCAGGGCAGCAGCTGGGCACAGAGTGGTGCTGATGCCAGTTTGGACCAGCGTCCAGTGGTAGAAAATGCCCTGGTATGTGTCACAGTTAAGATTCCTCTTCTCTACCTGGACTTCTAGCTTTGTCTTTTTGACTCTCTCTCCTAGGCTGTCTTCACTCTTTCCAGCTCTCACATGCTCTCACTCACTCACTCACTCACTCACTCACTCACTCACTCACTCACACACGCTAACGCTCACACTGACACACACTCAAACACTGGAACACTCACACAGACCCATCTCACACAGACCCAGCTCACACACACTGACACATGGACACTCACGCTGACACACACACGCACTGACACATATACACTTACACTGACACACACACTCACTCACAGTGACACACTCAAACTGACACATTGATACACTCACACCGACACACATACCACATACACATCCATACCAACACACTCGCAGACACACACTGACTGACACACACCGACCCACACTGAGTCACAC